TAAATTAATACTTCAAAATACTAAATTGGCTGTATGAACAAGAAATACGCAGGGAAGTGCAAAGAAGGACTGCTGTAGTTATTGGCTAGTTATTTATGCAGAAATATTTTGCAGCATTTACTCTAATTTATTGTATTGATTTAACCTATTTCAGTTAATACTGGCCATTGCAAATGCAAATTGCTGGGATTTAGTTTTTCTGTTAAGAAAGAGCATGACTGGAGATAGGAAGCTTAGAACAGCATCACTGAATGGTGGGGGAAGAATTAAAGGTCTATGTACATGCAATTTTGCTTAAAAAAGCATTTTATTATCTGTTGTGTCTAGCTTAAGCAGCCTGAAGACATCCCACTAATGCAGAATAACGAACATGGGTTGGACTAAATCTGCTCTTAGATTTCTTTACTGTATAGTCAGTATACTCAGGGAGTAGTTAGTTTTCCCCAAATTTCTTTTTATATAAAATAACCATTATGCAAACTGTTATTATTGCTTTTAAAGCTTCATGGTTGAGTTTAAATCACTGTAAATTAAATGATAAATTTAAATTATGGGAGATTTCTTAGTGTAAAGGGTTCATTACAAAGCAGCACAAACTATGAACTTGACAAGTTAGTGAAATATGATGGAGTGTATAGGGAAGTCTCGAGTTCTACAGTTTTAAGCTGCCAGCACATGTGGGAATTGTAAGGAATTCTTTTTTTACTTTGTGGGTTTTATATGCATGGTAACTTTTATTTGTTGAATACTATTAGAGTAGCAGCCGAATGTTTAGACAGAAAATCCAAATCCTTCCTCTAGATGGAAATACTGGTAACTGTGATTTTTCCAGATTAAAACCCAGCAGTTCAGGAGTTATGTTTTTCATTTTAAGATGCATCCTGTATAAAATATCTGACTAATTAAATTGTGGATTTCAGGCAGTGTTTGATGTTCTGTTGATTCTGAAAAGGACCAGGCAAGGGGTTTTGGTTTGTTTTTTTTTTGTTTGTTTGTTTTGTTTTTTTGGCAGGATAATAGGGAAGAAAGAGTCGTAATTGCTAGCACAATATGTAACTATATAGCTTGTCTCTGATCTATGAGGCTTTAGGCTGCTTTAAAGGGCCTCTTAAAACTTTCCCTCACCTGCAACTCTTCTTAATGCAAGTCTACCTGAGTAGGTAATTTTTAATCTGTTTTTTTTTTTCTCACTGCAGTGTAATTTTTTTTCACTGTCACTTTCCTATCACTGTTATTGTTTAAACTTTTTTTAGGAAGATTAAAGTCTTCATTTGTTCTGAAAAGCACAAGATTTGTGGTGCTATGTAGTAGTGTAGAAGAATGAGAAATTTCAGTTGTAATAAATAGAAAATATGTTAATTTAGAGTTGAGTATTTGCTTTCATAAAAAATTGATCTGATACCAACTTGTGGATATGATCAGTGTAAAATTCATTGCAAATTTTGCACCAGGGAACTGTCTTCACATGCTTACATGCCTGACGGCATTTCCTCTGTGGACTGGCAATTATTCTCACCTCGTGTACCCTGCAAAAGCATCCAGCATCTTTTGAACAGCTTACAGCTACACTGTGACTGTAAAATAAAATAACTTAGAAAGTGCTATATTCTGTTGAAGCTCTGATAATCTTAGTAGGAAGAAACAATAAATACAGTACAAATACATGCTTTATGCCTGATGTAGATTATTTAAAGTCATTTTCAGTTAACAGTTATGCAATGCTGTCTGTGTGGGTTAGATGACAGATAATACTGTTATGTGTGATTAGGCAAATATTGTACAAAACAACATTAGGTAAGCGATTACTCGCGTTGGCTGTTCCTTCACGTGGTGCTGTAGTAAATACTGGAGTAGAAAGCTCTAGTCAAGTTGGGCTTATATTACTAGCTACCACGCTTCAAAAGGGGTGATGGTAAGATTTTTCCAAGATTATTTGTGCTCCCGTATGACTAAGATACTTTGAAAAGTTATCTCATAAACATTGTAGATTGTAGAGTGGGATTTTTCTTTTGACTCTTTTAATGTATAAAGCATCTGCTGCATGGGGGGGAAGAAGTGTAAGCATGTTGGGGTAATACTCTTCCTGTAGGTTTGTATTTGTGAACCACAGTCTTTGTATAAACAACTTGCAGTTACTTTTATCATTTTAACATTGATGGAGACCAGTGATCCTTATTTACATTACCACATCTGTATTCCTCGACACTTGAAATGTAAAATTGAATTCATTTTCTATAATGTTTCATGATAGCAGCTGAGAATATTGCTGTGCAGCAACTCTTTGGGCTATTTTAGAAAATACATCTTTGACTTTTCCCTCGGCATGAAATCGTAGAGTCGTAGAATGGTTAAGGTTGAAGAGGACCTTAAGATCATGTAGTTCCAATCCCCTTGCCGCAGGCAGGGACACATTACACTAGACCATGTCACCCAAGGCTCTGTCCACCCTGGCCTTAATGATGATAACTAGGGAAAAATTTAATGTAATTCATTAATATATGATGAGAAACTGCAGTATGCACTTCAGAAATTCTTTTCTTAAAAGTCTGTTGAGGATAACCGCCTTTGCTTGTATCCTTCTGGTGTTTGTTTCCACTTGTGCTACTTCAGATGGTAAGCACTTGGGAGGTGTGATTAGATGTCTGAATAATTGATTTTTTTTTTTTTTCAACTCAATAGAAAAATGTTTTGCTGTAACAGTGTTTTAGGGATTTTGTCTTGTTTGTTGGTTGGGTTTAATTTTTTTTTTATGCTTGGGGGCGCTTTTTTCAGTTTTTTCACTGTAACATGCCAGGGTTCACTTCTCAGGTGTGGATCTGTCTGAGGTGGATCCTGCTGGCTCTGTGCCTTCCATCATTTTTCGAATGTTCAGACATTTCATTAGTGCTGTTTGTATCCACATTCTTCTACCCTGAGGATGTAGAGGGTTGACTAGTAGCTAGTCAGCTCCTTCTGATCAGCCTTCATAAGAAGTAACTTTTGGAGATCGTTGGCAGGAAGTAACAAGTGGCTGTGTCAACAGTTCTGCACTGTACTGCCCTGGATTTACTTAGAGGTAGTGTACCACTTTTAGGAAAAGATTCCTTGCCCTGCTGTTTCAGAGAGGTGAATGACAGTTGTCATGGTTAATCTATTGGTTGTAGCTTTTCATGTAGGTAGGTGACAGAAACCACATTGTAACTTCCTTTAAAATTGTTTTCTAACTTTCAAATTTTTTACTACACTTGAGGTTTGCTGGGGCTTTATTCATTTGTTTGCTGTGTTGTTTGGTTTTTTCTTCCCCAAAAACCTCTGCCATGAGATAGAATAGTTTTTGATGTTGAGTTGTGTTGTTTTGCTTTAATTCTTTTTAATTACCTCAGTAGGACATGAACCACTTTGAGAGGTAGGAAACTGAATTTGGAAGGACCAGTGTCTCATATTGCCTTTTCCAATTAAGATGGTATGTGGTGAAAGTTTAATTTACTGGAGCCCAGTCACCCATAATGCAGGGCACATCAGCTGATTTCTGGAGTTGCTAGCAGAAATTTGTCAGTAACAATTTAGAGCTTGATTAAAACTTTTGGACTCATTGAATATGAGGTTTTCAACTTCTGTTTTCTGGCTCAGGTGCCCAGTTTGGGAGGAGAAGCCACACTGTCGGAAAAATCTTTTCCTCTCCTTTCCAAGATCAGATTCTTGCTGATACTGAAAGGATGGGAAAAAAGGTTACTTATACAGATACACAAAGAAGGGGATTACCTTAACATACCCACAGTTCTTCAGTAAGTACATCTATAGATCATACAGGGCCAGGAGGCCTGGATGGATGAATGAAGATCTTCTGGACAAACTCAAACACAAAAAGGAAGTATACGCAGGGTGCAAGCAAGGACAGGTAGCCTGAAAGGAATACAGAGAAATTGTCTAAGCAGCCAGGAATCAGGTTAGGAAAGCTGAAAGGAAGGCTAGGGAAAATGTGGGCCCTCTCTAGAACTAAATGGGAGACCTGGTGACCTGGGACATGGAGAAGGCTAAGGTGCACAATGACTTTTTGCATCAGTCTTCACTGGTGAGTGCTCCAGCCACAGTGCTCAAGTTGCAGAAGGCAAAGGCAGGGACTGAGAGAAAGAGCCACCTGCTCTAGGATCAGGTTTGAGACTAAGGTATTTGAAGGTGCACAAGTCCATGGGACATGATGAGATGCATCCACAGCTCCTGAGGGAACCAGCGGATGAAGTGGCTAAGCCACTCTCTGTCATATTTGAGATATTGTGGCAGTCTGGTGAAGTTCCCACTGACTGGAAGAGGGGAAACATAACCCTCATTTTTAAAAAAGGAGAAAGGGAAGCCGTGAAAGTACAGTCCAGTCAGACTCACCTCAGTGCACAGGAAGACCATGGAGCAGAGATTGCTGGAAACTGCTAAGGCACATGGAGAAGGAGGAGGTGACTGGTGACAGCCAGCAGGCTTCACTAAGAGCAAGTTGTGCCAGACAGATTTGGTAGGTGTAAGAATTTAGGTTGCCTGTCAAAGCACGGCACTTTTCTCTCTCTCCTTTTTTCTTGCAGCTGAAATAGTTTGAATTTTTCAGCATAAAATCTACTGGAAAAAAGTCACGTGGCTTTAGCTATAACGCTACATGTTTGACATTAAAAGTGCTTAATGTGTTTCTAAAAGGGGAAAGATAAACTATTGTAGAAGGTATTTGATATTTCTTAAAGTATTGCTTTGACTTGGAAAAACATCTAGGCTGATGTTGAGCTCCTAAGTTGATGCTCACTGTTTTCTTTACTTAAGAATGTATTGAGGTGTTTTGTTTAAGCAAAACATTTTGTTCTGTTATTCCTGTAACAGAAGGTTGGTTTCTTTGAAATAAAATAAAAAAAAGGAATGCAAATGCAAGATGTTTATTCTGCTGCAGTCTCTTGTTCTGTCCTATCTTCTGCCTGTCTTGAATAATATGATGTATTTGCATGGTCCTTAAATTGTTGTTCTTCCTGATTTTGCTGTCAAAACAGGCAACCACAGAAAGACCTTTTATACAGAAGCTATTTCGACCAATTGCTTCAGGAGGACAGATGCATACTTTGGGAGATCTGCTAAAAGATGTGTGTCCTAGTGCTATTGACCATGAAGGTACTGTAAAAATAACTTTTGTCTAGTAATGTATTTTTTTTCTGTTGATTTATTGTTTGGTTAGTTGGGTTTTGTTGTGTTTTGTTTTTTTTTTTTAATGTGGGGATTTTGGAGGTAGGACTATGTCTTAGTACCAGAGTTTGACTCCTTCATGCCGTATAGTGTGCCACACATCACATCACCTGCAGTGTTTGGAGATGGTAAGGCTGAGGCCTTAGACACTCTTGAAGAATTAATTTCTGGAAGTTTTATTTTAAAATTTGTGTTTGCCTTCACACTGTTCTTAATAAAAACATAGTGCTTTCTGCATTTAAAAAAAAGTATTCTTGAAGCAATGTCAACAGAAATTTTAAGTTACCTTTAATTTTATTCTGCATATTTTTTTTTGTACGTAAAATACCATAATTGATAGAAATTGAAGGGTTTTTCAGAATATTTTCTTCTTGTTCAAGCCCAACCTTTAAAAATGTACAAGAAAAGGAAGAGATTATTGTAAGCATGTAATAGTTTATGTATAGTTACTAAGTAATATTGTGTGACAAGATACCAGTTAGTTCATGTAGCATTATATCATTTCGTACAACAACATTTGACAGTCAGTGCTTAGTCAGAAAAATAATATCTGATTTTATCTAAGCCTCAAAGATTACAACTATTGGAACTCTGATATACTTTTAAAGTGGGATAAATGTAAAGGTTATGTAAATTAAGATAAAATTAATGTGCAAATTAAGATAAAAATTTATGTGAAACATTTTTTTTCTTGGTTTTGCTGTTGTCTTGCCAGTACCTGTAAATAGGTAACTGTTTTTCAGTCAGTACATCACAACATGTTTTGAGAAATATCTGATATTCTAGAGAAGATCTTGGCACAGAATTTACTGATGTAGTATAAGTACCTCTGGACCGTAAAGCACTAAATTTGAAATCTGTTAAAATCTATAGAATTGCATGCACAGAACTTGTGTAATTCAAAATCAAACACTTGTGGATTTCTTTAAGTATAGTGATCATGGAAATCTACTGAAATCTCAACAGATCTTTTTACCCATGTTTAATACATGTTAACACATGGAAACAATTTCCAAAAATAACAAAAGTAAGAAAAATATGGAATGATGCTAGCCATGTGTCTATTTTTCCTAAAGCTGCTTATGAATTTTAGAGCATAGTTTTAAGTGATGCTTTCAACTAACTGTCCAAATGATAAAGCAAGATACAAACAGATACTTAAATGACAGCGCAAGCAAATTTAAGCATCTTTAAGTACTTAAGTGTGAGGATCCTCCTACAGACACTCGTGAAAAGCTACGAAGTGAATTTAATAAAAAAAAAAAGAGCGTAAGAAGGATGATATATTTTAATTTGAAAGGCAGTCAAAAGCACAAATTAAATGCAAGAAACTCAAAAAGTATTTATGCAAAAAGTTATTCCAGGATATCATGAATGGTCAGTTTTACATGGATTTGTGAAAGCTACACATGGGGAATGTGCTAGTTACTGCTGGAAATCCTATACTGTTGTTGTGGTCTAAGCCCAGACGGTAACTCAGAACCACGCAGCCGCTCACTCACTCCTGCCTTCTTCCTCCACCCACTCCCGGAAGGGGGAGGAAGATGGGGAGGAGAATCGAAAGAATGTAACTCCCACGGGTTGAGATAAGAACAGTCCAGTAACTAAGGTATAACACAAAGCCACTGCTGCTACCACCAATAATAATAATGGTAAGGGAAATAGCAAGGGAAGAGAATACAACCACTCACCACCCACCGACCGATACCCAGCCTGACCTGAGCAGAGATCTAGCTCTTCTGGGTAACTGACCCCAGTTTATTTACTGGGCATGACGTGCTGTGGTATGGAATACCCCTTTGGTTAGTTTGGATCAGGTGTCCTGTCTCTGCTTCCTCAGAGCTTCCCCTCCTCCCTGGCAGAGCATGAGACTCAGAAAGTCCTTGGTCAGAGTAAACATTACTGAGCAGCAACTAAAAACATTGGTGTTATCAGCGCTGTTCCCAGGCTGAAAGTCAAAAACACAGCACTGCACCAACTACTAAGAAGGAGAAAAACGACTGCTACTGCTGAACCCAGGACAGTATCCACCTCTTATTCCATACCATTCACGTCATGCCCAGATCCCACATTTTTCTATGTACTGCTGCTTTTGTCTCAGGACAACTGTTTATTCAATGGGGCAAAAAGTGGTGGTTACTTCTAGGAAAAGAAACTAAAATAGGTACTATCCTTACACTTAGGAGGAGTAGTTTCAAATTTGGTGGAAAGGTTTTGTTGTATTGGAATATATTTATCTGTTCCTCTCTAAATCTCTTAAATTTGACCTAAGTTTTTATCTGTAAGATTCTACTAAGCAACTTGCAAACATTAGTTTAATAAATTTGATCCCTCACATGACTATGGGCTATCTAGGATTCAGTAGAATTTCTCCTGTAATGCACCTTTGTATTGTTTTGTTGTTCAGTTGCTTCTCTTACATTCTGAGTGTTCTCCTCCTTTTCTGGTAGGTAACAGAAGGAAGTACTAGGCTGAGCTAAACACAGAAAATAACGTGAAGTCTTGAGATGTGAGTGTAGACTGATACATAGAGCCAGTAGAGGCAGAACGACTGAATTTGGAAGAAAATTACTATCTGCGAGTCATTAAATGTGATGGGGAGAGCAACTATAAACAATATGGCAGGATAAAAGAGACTGGGGCAAAAGCCAAACCCAGACATAATAACTGTGAACACCTGGACGAAGTAAGTGGGATAGGTGATAAAACAATAAGGGAGGAAAAGCAGCATATTGCATGTGGATCATACACTGGCAAAGTGGTTTGGATGGTCTGGAGGCCTGTTTGGAGAAAAGGATTGAATTAGAAGTTGAAAAGAAGGGCAGTTTGCACTGGCAGAATGAGAAGGTGCAGGTGGATAGGTGGTCAGGTGGATCTGGAGACAGTTAGAAAAGGGACTGGGGAAAACTTGCTCAGGGTTTGCTGTAGAAGCAGACTGCACGCCAGACAGGAATACAAAGTAGAAAATTAATTGTGGTAACATGGAAAGAAAAAAAGACCTAGGAGATAGATCAGAAAGAGGCAGAACTACGACAAGAAGGAAGGATGATAGAGAAGGGATCAGACTTCTGGAAAATTACCTGAAAAGGTGGATGCCCATGGCAGCAGTGTTTTTTACTGCTGAGGAACATGCACAGGTAAGGATAGGGCCCTTAAGAGGTGTGAAGGGCAGCACTGGTTTAGGCTTAACTGCTTCAGTTCATCATACTCTCCTCATTGATGAATTAAGCTTACGGTGACCAGGATGACAACACACCTCATTTAAGTGTTTCCACCCCTAGGGCAGTCGGTTCCAAGTGTACTAGACACCCCTCCAAGGGTGGAATCAGTAAGTGAACTTTGATTATTCTCTTGCTGGCTTAATCTCCTCATTTACTCTTCAGATGCAGTGTGCACCATCTTAACTGTTCACACTCTTGATACAGCTTTGAGCTATTAAAGAAAAAACCCCACTAACTCAGCAGAATGCATAATGCCACTTCTGAGTTTTGCCTGTAGAAATGTTAGAAGCCATAATGAGGGCATACTTCTCCCTTTTCCGGCGAGTAGAATCCCAAGATCTCAGCATGTCTGTGTTGCTGAAGACTCCATGAAAGCCACTCTGTCAATTCATTTTCTTTCTGCTGGTTCAGTGAGAGTTTAACAAACTTCCTCTGTCAATAGATGCTCCACCAGTTCAAAAAGAGGAGGAGGCTGTAAAGCTGAGTGTTTCTATCTATTTTATGGGCACATGAGAATTTAATTTGCAAGCATTTTTTTTAAACCTGGAAAACTATGCATAAATGTTTTCCTTCTGAAGTAGTTGTATCCAGTTGAAGTTGAATTACTTGACATTTAGGATGTGTCAGAGCTGTAGACCACCTGTACAATCCTGATTTCTGTACATATGCATGCTGATCATTATGCATACAGCTTAATCACTCTCCACCTCTCTACTCGTTTTGTCTTCTGTGAGACTTCTGTCTTCCTGCACAGGCAGGGCATGTTTTGGTGTCAGGGCTGTGTCGTGAAAAAAACATTGTCCTCATTATTGAAATGATGGATGGGTAATTAATGTACTTCAGGAAGTATTGCAATTTAGGCAGCTGAACACTGCCTTTGGGAATTGATTTCAGTTCTTTCTCCCATAGGGAGTTCATGTATATGGGATAGTAGGCAAACTGAGTGTTACAAAACCACCCATTTCATTGAAGAGCGCCAGAAAAATCCAGCGATCAGCGTGAGCATTCTGCTGAACAGCTTGCTCGCTTACACTTGGAATCAGCAAGAGCTTGGGGGCTTTGAGTGTGCAAACACCAGGCACTCTCTGAAGTCAAGTTCTAGGCTTCTCATTACTCCTCTCCGACCCTCCAAAAAATATGTATTTCTGACCATGATGGCTCTTTGACTTCAGTATGTGATCTGTAAAATGGTAATGCAGTCTCCTTCCATGGGATAATCTTGATGAAACAGTTTCTGATGGAAGAATAGTTTTTGGTCAAGACTATTTGAATTTCATATTAAAAATTGCCTTTTTTGGACCTTTTTTTGCTATCTTATAATTTTTGGGTTTGTAAGATTAAATTTTTTGATCTACACTTTATATTTATTCTGGTCAAGGCATTAAAATAATCATGTAACAAAATTGTCAAAGGTATATTAGAAAAAGCTGACAAGCTGTTTTCCACACCTGGATTTTTCAGATTTTATGTATTCTTACCAAAGTTTAAATCTACTTAGATTTTCTGAATACAGGAAAAAAAAAAAAAAACAGTATCTCATCAAGGATATGCTTAAGGACACAGTAGATATTATTGAAGCAAGTTGTTCTCAACCTTTTTCACTCTTGTTTTCAAGAAGTAATTTAGATATTTTTTCTACGAGTGATTTTTTTAACGCCCCCTCTTTATGGAATTAACGTGTTTGTGACATTGGCTGCATCTTTTTGT